TCCATCTGAAATTTGTGAAGAGTGTGTTGTTAGCAAGCAGTCTCGCAACTCTTTTCCACAAAGGGGGTTCATGGAGAGCAAAGAAGGCACTGGAACTTGTCCATTCCGATATTTCTGGACCGATAACACCATCTTCTAATAGAAGTAAAAGATATATAATTGCCTTCATTGACGATTTTACTCAGAAAAGCTGGATATACTTTTTGCAGGTGAAATATGAAGCTTTCGAAGCTTTTAAAAGCTTCAAAGTGCTTGTTGAAAAAGAGATCGGTAGCCCAATAAAAGATCCGGGTTCATATCATGGGAGAGAATATAACTAACGTGAATTTGCAATTTTTCATGAGCTTCATGGAATCAAAAGGAAACTTACAGCAGCCTACTCGCCCCCATCAAAAAAGGAGTATGTGAGAGGAAAAATCGCACTATGTACATGGTGCGAAGTATTTTGACAAGAAGTGGTGTTTCAAGAAGCTTTTTGCTTGAAGCAGTCAATTGGACTATTCGTATCCTGAATAGATGCCCCACATTTGCATTTAAAAATATGACTTCGGAGGAAGCATTGAGCGGACAACGACCAACCGTAGATCACTTTAGAATCTTTGGGTGCATTGCATATGACCATATTCCAGATCAAAAGAGAAAGAAGCTTGTCGACAAGGGAGAGAAATGTATTTTTCTCGGTGTTAGTGATCAATCAAAAGCTTACAAGCTTTATAATCCTAACACTAAGAAAATATTAGTTAGCCGAGATTTCATCTTTGATGAAAATCAGTTTTGATCGTGGAACAAAAATGCCATGGGAGAAAAAATTCCAGTATGCCTTGATGGAGAAAATGGTGAAGAAGCAATTCAGCCTCAATAGCAAGTTCTAACAGTAGTAGTCCCTGAAAATGCTCAAGATAGCAATCATGGAAGTTCTAAAACATCACATGTTATGGATGAGCAGAGAGAAACTGTAGCTGATTCACGTGCCCCTTGTGCTCCAAGAAGGCCAGCATGGATGGCAGATTACGAGGTAAAAGGAATTGATCCATTGGAAGATCCTCTCACTCATTTTTCTCTATTTTCATATTGTGACCCAACAAATTTTGAAAGTATCGTCAAAGATGAAAAATGGCAAAAGGCAATGGATGATGAAAGGCTACAAACAAGAATTAGGAATGGATTGCAGAGAAGTTTTTTCTCCTATTGTCAGAATTGACACGATCAGATTGGTGATTGCATTGGCCGCTCAAAATTCATGGCTCGTCTGCCAATTGGATGTGAAATCAACCTTCCTACATAGAGACTTGCAAGAACATGTATTTGTTGAACAACTTCCTGGTTATGTTAAGATTTGTGAAGAGCATACAGTTTGCAGATTAAAGAAAGCTCTATATGGACTAAAATAAGCTCCTAGAGCTTGGTATAGTTGTATTGATGCCTATTTTCAAAAGGAAGGTTTTCAAAAATGGCCATATGAGCATACTCTTTATACAAAGTGTGAAGATAGAGGGAAAATGTTGATTGTATGCTTGTATGTAGATGATCTGATTTATACAGGAAATGATAGTTTCATGCTAAAAAGAGTTTAAAAAATCTATGATGCTTGAGTTTGATATGTCAGATCTTGGAAGATCGCATTACTTTCTTGGCATAGAAATAGTGCAATCAGTTGATGGAATATTTATTTCTCAAAAGAAGTTTGTGCGAGAAATTTTAGACAGGTTTCGAATGAGCAATTGCAATCCTGTCAGATGTTTGCTTGAAGCTTACAAAGGATATTGGAAGGAAAAAGGTCGATAGCACTTTTTTCGAACAAATTGTGGAAAATTTGATGTACTTATCAGCAATGAGGCCAGACATTACATATGTCGTAAGTCTCATTAGCAAATTTATGGAGAATCCCAAAAAATTGCATCTTCTTGCTGCAAAGAGGATCCTTCAGTACTTAAAAGGTGCCATAGATTTTGGATTGGTCTATAAAAAGGGTGAAATGGCAAATTTGATTGCGTTCTCTGATAGTGATTATGTTGGAGATGTAGCTGATCAGAAGAGTACTTCAAGTTATGCGTTTATACTGAGTTCAGGTGAAGTCTCATGGTCATCAAAGAAACATCCAATCGTCACTTTATCAACAACTGAAGCTGAATTTGTTGCTGCAACGGTATGTGCGTCACAAGCTATTTCTTACTCAGTTGAACTTCAAGCAACAAGAAGCAACGATAAGTTATTGGACAACAGTTCTGCCATAAAGTTGTCTAGAAATCCAGTTTTCCATTTGAGAAGAAAGCATATCAATGAAGATGGAGTAATTGATCTTATGTTTTGCAGAACTGAAGATCAGGTGGTTGACATATTCACTAAACCCCTCAAATATGCATCATTTGTGAAGCTTAGGGAATTACTCGGAGTTCGTACTTTTGTGGATCTAGCTTCAGAAAAATAAACCCAAAGTCTTCAGTTTAAGGGAGGGAATGTCAAGTATTTAGTAGCTCTTAATTGTTTGTTACAACTGTTAGTGAACTAAGCAATTACTTTCTAATTGTTGTTTCTCAGTGAAACGTGTTTTAGCAGTTCCTAGTTTTTAGGTATCAGTTATTGTTTGTGGTTAAATTGTTTCCTTTTCTTTAGAAGTGGGAGAAGGTGGTTTGTTGCTTGGTTTATCTATTTAAGAGTCCTGTAATTTGGTTTCATCTACAACAAAAATAGAAAGTTCTCTTTGCCTTCAATACTTCTCTCTGTTTTCTCATTATTTTTCTTAACAGTTCATACTTGCTTATCTTTGGAGTTCTGTAGCTCTATGCCTACTGAGTACCACTTGTTGATAGTCATGCTACACTTCTGCACCTTACCGATCATAGTACGAGTTCTCTTCTTGATTTGGATCTCGTGTGAAGCAGCTTTTAGGATTCAAAGACTGTGGTGAGCTCCTGACATTCAAAGTTGTTAATCTCCCTCTATGTTGGCTAGGATTAGTCTTTATTTTGCTTTCAGAGGCAGTTCTATATTTATTGAATTTGAAAAACCTTGTACTAATGTGTTTGACTAGATGCTTGATTACTAACTAATGTAAGGTCTTGAGATGGTTTTGTTGTATTTTTATCTGTTTACTTCCTTTTCTCCTCATTATTGTCCCCGACCCCTTTTGTGTTCTTCCGCGTGATAGCCGTTGCTTCTAATTCCAGGCTATGAGTTAGACTTACCTACTAATGGGATGTGGTTGGTGCCAATATGACCCGAGAAATCAGATCATGACATAAGTTGATCAAAAACTAACAAAGAGCCATTTTCTCATACATTAAAAAGCCTAAATGGACATGTGACAAAATTAATATAATATCTTCCATTTATAATCCTCTCTCACACGAAATAGGCATGCTCCCATAGGTATTAGGCAAAGGAAATTAAACAAAAATATATAACATTGTAAATTGGTCAAAAAAGTCTAATCTTAAAATTTAGTTTTTAAGTCAAATACCTAAACTCCTTGATTTCTTCAAATAGTTATCGATTGTGGTTCTCTTACCCGTATGAGAAAAGTAGAGAACTCTCCGAGCCGAAAATCCTTGTTACATTATTCACTTATTTGATTAAAATGATTTTTACGCTCCCCCAACTTCATATGGAGAATTCCATAAAGATTTCGCAAAAAATTCGTCCGGAAGTCATATCACCAAAATATTCATGGGCTTACACAAATGAAAAATTGAGAAAATCGCTTAACTCTTGTAAATTGACCCCGAAATGCCCAAAATTACTCTAAAATGGTGAGACTGTCTGTATTTCTCCCCCCAACTCACTACGGACGGTTCCATGAAGGTTTCGCAAAAAAATCATCCGAAAGCCATATGACAAAAATATTCATGGGCTAACACATGAAAAACTGAGAAAATTGCCTAATTCAAGTAAATTGGCCCCTAAATGTCCAAAAATTACTCTAAATATGGTGCGACTGTACGTACTGCTCCCCAACTCTCTATGAAGGATTTCATAGGGTTTCGCAAAATATTCATCCAGAAGACATATCACCAAAATATTCATAGGCTAATACACACAAAAACTTAGAAAATCGTCTAATTCTTGTAAATTGGCTCCTAAAGGACCAAAAATCACTCTAGAAATGTTGAGACTCTATGTACTGGTCCCTCAATTCCCTACGGAGAGTTCCATAAAGGTTTTGCTAAAAATTCGTCTGAAAGCCAAAACACCAAAATATTTATGGGCAAACACGTATGAAAAACTGAGAAAATCACCAAATTCCTGTAAATTGACCCCTAAATGCCGAAAATCACTCTAAAAATGGTGAGATTTTTCATTTATGTATTCACTAAATATCTCAACAAAATTAAGAATCGTGTATTTGTAAACCTCAATATATCTGTAAAATGAATATACCTTATTAATTGCAAGCAGATCTTCACCATCGTATAATTACAATGGGTACATAAAGTTTCATTGTGAAAATGGTCAAATATGTCATCGAACGTTGAGAAAAGGCTCATTTATGTCGTCCATTAAAAATTTAGCTCATTTATGTCATTTCCGTTTTAAAAAGGTTGATCCATGCCATTATTTGTTAACGGAAAACAGTTTGGTTTTGCAAAACCAATTCTTTACACATGGTCAATTACGATTCGGTCACATCATTAGTTAAATAAGTTTTTAAAAGAGAAAATGCTCAAATATGCCATCGAACTTTGAGAAACTTTCATCTATGTCATCCGTTAAAAACTTGGCTCATCTATGTCATTTTCAGTTAACAAATTATAGCATGGATGACCCTTTCTCAAACGGAAATGGCATAGATGAGCCAAACTTTTAACGGATGACATAAATAAGTCTTTTCTCAAAGTTCAATGACATATCTAAGCCTTTTCCAATTAAATTTTTAACTAAACTAACACCTAATATTACAAAAAATGAAATAACACTAATCTTAGATCCCCAACTAAAAACACGTGACATATATATTTGCTAGCTTTCACCGCTAATTAAACTCTATATAAAGATTACATGTTCATAACATTTTCTCACCAATTCCTTTTCACACCTTATAACTATTTCGAGGAGAAGAAAATATGGGTATCAAAGGCAAGTTGATTGCTTCAATGGAGGTGAAGTGTGAAGGACACTTGATTCATGATCTTATGCACACCAATACTCATCAAGCAGCCAACATAAGCCCTACTATCTACCATTTTGAGGTTCATGAGGGTGAAATAGGAAAAGTTGGTACGATTTTTAACATGAAATATAATGAAGGTAACATACAATATTTATCCTCTCTCTCAATTTGATTTACTTGCATCAATTTTCTATACTTGGTGTATTTTGTGGTATGAAAACTATGTTTTTGAGAAAATAGTCTGCATGAAAAACTTAGCTGATGTTTGGACAAGAGGGAGTTGCTCGGATGATAGGCATCTATCACTTCTAACCTGAAGGTTGTGAATTCGAGTTAGCAAGGGAGGAGGCATAAAAATAAATTGTTTGATGGAAAATTACTTTTGTGATACCAAACATAATATAATCTAATTATAGTTTTCCTTACTAATTCTCATATTCCCCAAAACGTCAGCTCTTCTTTTGAGATTTTAAAGACTACTCCATTCAGTAAAGGTAGACAAACCAATATTCAAGTGCATTAACAGATAATTTTTGGAGAAAAATGAAAAACAATATTCAAGTGCATTAACAGATAATTTTTGGAGAAAAATGAAAAACAATATTCAAGTGCATTAACAGATAATTTTTGGAGAAAAATGAAAAACAATATTCAAGTGCATTAACAGATAATTTTTGGAGAAAAATGAAAAACAATATTCAAGTGCATTAACAGATAATTTTTGGAGAAAAATGAAAAACAATATTCAAGTGCATTAACAGATAATTTTTGGAGAAAAATGAAAAACAATATTCAAGTGCATTAACAGATAATTTTTGGAGAAAAATGAAAAACAATATTCAAGTGCATTAACAGATAATTTTTGGAGAAAAATGAAAAACAATATTCAAGTGCATTAACAGATAATTTTTGGAGAAAAATGAAAAACAATATTCAAGTGCATTAACAGATAATTTTTGGAGAAAAATGAAAAACAATATTCAAGTGCATTAACAGATAATTTTTGGAGAAAAATGAAAAACAATATTCAAGTGCATTAACAGATAATTTTTGGAGAAAAATGAAAAACAATATTCAAGTGCATTAACAGATAATTTTTGGAGAAAAATGAAAAACAATATTCAAGTGCATTAACAGATAATTTTTGGAGAAAAATGAAAAACAGTAAAAGAAATATAATATTTTGTAAATTCTTTTAAATCTTTCATGAGGAATTGTGCAGTTGAACTAGGAGTAATATCTTTGTATTTACTAAATTTAATGAATACAGATGTACAAGAAAAGACTGTGAAGTATGAAATTGAAGCCATCGACAGTTACAAGAAATCAATAAGCCGGAAAGTGATTGGTGGAGATTTGTTAGATTTCTATAGTTCCTTTACGTTCGTATCATCCTGTGAACAACAATGGATTACATGGACATTTGAGTATGAAAAGAAAATTGAAAGCAACCCAGAGCCCCTTAATTTCTTGGGTTTTATTCTTAATGTGACCAAGAATATTGAGGGTCACTTTCTCAAAAAATAGAAAAAAAATGTATTGTTTTATATATGTTTGCGTGTCTATACACATAAACATATGTGTGTACGATGAATAAATGGAAATATTAGCTAGTTCTAGCTAGCGTATGGAATAAATAATTAATATTGTGTTTGAATTAGAATATACTAAATAAATAATTAATATTGTGTTTGAAGAATATACGTACTATATATTTCAATCTTCGTCTATGGATATATTCCCTATAATGAGTAACTGTTAGATAATATCTTGTCATTATCCAAAATTTGATCATGATGATGCCTACCATAAAACCCTCATATGGCAAGTCAAAACCCAAACAACAAGCAATAAATGAAAGATATAATACATAAGCATGACCTTTAACTTGGCTTCATTTGACAACTATGGCCTTTAACTTTGGGTGTGCACAAGTAATCGCTGAAACTTATTAAAAATTGAACAAATGGACACTTTCGTCCTACATCGCATCCTACATGACAATTTTGTGTCCTATGTGGCATCCTACATGTATTATGCCACGTGGGATACATGTGTCTACTTGCTCAATTTTATACAGGCTTAAGTGTCTATTTGTGCACACCTGAAGTTGGAGGGTGTAGTTGGCAGTTGAAGCCAAGCTAAGGGTCATGTTTATATATTATGCCTAAAATGAAAACTAGAATATAACTACACAGAATCAATATAGACAGAGAACAGGATCATGGCATAAATATGCATAATGGTAAAAAAATATACAATAAAAGCCCAAAAATGATCAAGAAAGACTAATATACATAAGAACCAAATCTTGAACCTAGTGTAACTTGTGCAAGAGCATCTAAGTACAGAAAGAGACTATCTACAACAGATCTGTATAGTCAAAATACAAAATACATAGGTAGAAGAATACAAAAGGGAAAAATGCAAGTCTCTAGAGATAAGTAAGGTTTAAAGTTGATAAGACATTTTTTTTTGGTTAATCTTCTCTTCTTGTTGAAGTAATGATGGGCAGTAAGTTGGTTTTGATGCTATTACCCTTTTTTTTTTATGGATAGTTTCTATGCATGTTTTGCAATTAAATCTTTGGATGATATATGCAACACCTCCACTACTACTGAAAAATTTATTAAAAAAAAGTTTGAATTTTTGAGTTACAAGGAAGCTAAGTTTGACTATGGACAATTTTTTATGAAGGCAAACTAGTATCAGTGATTTGATAATTTCAAAAGGCTCAAAACATGCCTTTTTGTGACATCTTTCAATTTGAAATAACTATGAATAAGCTTGAAATTGGAAATAGTCATTTTTGGGAAGAATTCAAAAATCTGGAAATTTAGTCAAGTATGGGAAAAAAAGTGAGTTTTTGGTCAACTTCAAACAGTCATAACTCCTAGCTCTGGATGAGTTAGGTGTATTTTCCAGTTATTTTTGCAAAGCCCTTGGAATGATCTTTCCAACGCCGCCGAGTTTGCTCGATTCCGAATTCGTATGAGTGAGTTATGCCCTTTGGAAGTTGGGCTGTTGGCATAGGAAAGTTCACCCGAATTTGTAAGGGTATTTTGATCTTTTCCCTAACCATTTCTTTTGGTTATATTAAGGGTCCCAGCTGATTTTAAATCAGTATTTCTTTGTAAAAAGTGAGTGTTAGGGTTGTGAGTGAAGAGAGAAAGAAGAGGAGAAAGAGAAGGAAGCTAAGTTCGTCGAGAACGTCGTGGATTTCGTCGGGGGTGATCCCTATTAAGGTATGTGAGATCATAGTGCTGGGTTGGTCCATTCCCCCACACGCCAAACTCGTTTTACTTTCCGAGAAATAGATTGGTTGTGTTTGTTGAATTCTTGTGGTTGTGTTGAAGTTTCTTGTTGATTGGGTACATGTTTCCGGATGGAGAGTTGAATCTATTGTATATTAAGGGTTTTAATGATCCCAAGTGTTTGGGGAAAGAACCTTTGAAGTTAAGAGGGTTTAGAGTTGGAAAAATGAAGGAGAATAGTCAGGCAGCTTGCATGAAACAAGTCCGCGTCACGGACTTGTTTTCTCTGTGAACAAAAATCTGCTCCGCATCGCAGACAGGACACGGACTCCACTATTTCAAAATCAATTTCGTGAGCTTTTATTTAGGAGCATCTCCGCGTCGCGGACTTGTTCCAAGACTGTGTTTTCGTAAATTTTCTCAAGTTTAGCTAATCGAAACTATGCATAAACATCAAGAGATCTTTCCTATCACAAATCATGAACCTTGATTAATCCATAATCCAATTCAAGGAAATGTTAGGATCAAAGTCAAGTGAAGTTAGGAAGCAAGTCAAAGCAAGTTTTTTTAAAGTTTTTTTAAGAGTCTTTACTAAACGTCTAAACTTCATTTTAAGGCTCAAGTTTCAAGCAAAGTAAAGAGTATAGAGTTGAGTTCTTTTTCTCAAGAGTTACTAGGGAACTATGTATTCCCCAAAGAAGTTTATAAAGGTTTTTTCTTTACATTTGAGTAAGAAAGGAACTATGTTTTCCAAGAGAGCCTTTGGGCTAAGCTTTGAGCAATTATCTCAAACTAAAGAAAGATGTGTTTAAAACACTTATGAGCTAAAGTATTTTGGGAGTAGTATTGAGCACTGAATTGGGGACGCGAGTTCACATTAACTCAACTCTCCATAAGAACCATGTAGCCAACATGGGACTT